TCTAAGGTAATCTTCATCATATGTTTAGCGGTCATATTAAAACAAATCAATCAAAGTGTAATTTTGAAGCGCGATAAGCCCCGTCAGGAAATTGTATTTCAGCCAAATTCTAATGCGTGTGTTCAAAGTTTATCATTTAAGAATGTAATCTGTGGAGTCGTTTATGTGCCTAGTTTTGCAAATAGAAAGTTGTCACTGTTAGCATTCGTATATAAGAAGAGTGCGCTAAAACTTCGTCCATATTGTAAAATGAACATTACGTCGACGATATTCTCTGAGATAACTTTGCCCCAAACAAGATGCTTGGAGTACAAAAGCAATCGATATAGGTTTTAAATTTACACAGACTCCCATCAAGGAAAATAATTCCAAATAATACCCTCATCTCGTATTATCAGAAAAACGTTGGGAATTCATTACAACGCACGTTTGGATAATTTTAATTTCAAGCACGACCTATTACCACTATTTAGAGGATTCACGCTAAAATATTTGATCCAGCTGGATGGCTGCATACAGTTATTATTTAATGGAAATTATAAATGTAAATGTAATGTAATGACATAATTAAAGTAAATTTGAGCCAGATGAAAAAAAATTTTATTTGGCCATGCCCTAATACCAGTTCACCGAAAGCCGTTCAGGAAGCAGTATATAAGGACTGGAGGTAAAACCGAGCAATCATCAGAAAAATTAAATAACGAAAGAAGAAGAATTCGCGTAGTACTCTGGTAAGCGGGAAAAAAGCGACGTCAGAACGCACATAATTAAGAAAAATGAAAATAACGGCACTAAACATACCTAGCACCCGAGCGACGTGAGAGGAACCACTCGCCACGCCAAAGATGCGGTATGGATGATTATAAATCTATCGAGTGCAAAAATGAAATTCGATAATTATACGCAGTTGTAATAAATCTAACGTAGTGTATATTAGAGACCGCAAATCAAAACTTTTAATGAACTCCTTCCAAATAAATCTAGGAAGGAGCAAAGAACATGACAACTTGATAACGTAAACAAAAGCTAAAGAAAATGTTAATACGTTTTTATAAAACATGCTACACAAAGCTAAAAATGGTCACATTGTAAACGAAAACAATAAACAAGTCTGATGAAGGAAACGAAAACGGTGAAAGCGGCAGGAATAGTGACTTTTAACCGTTCACTGTTCAGCTGTGTTACTTTTCTTTAATAAATGTACAGCCTCGGCGTGCAGAGATTTTTATATGGAATATTTGTGTACTTAAAAATGAAAAATTTCTTACAGATTTCGAAGAAGGTGAAGAAAAAATTATTATTGGCATAAGGATGATATCGCTATATTAATCAGAGCGAAATTAATGAGTCGTGCTGACGGTAGCGTCTTGATAAAGTAACGCACATCGACCAATTTAGTAGAGGCCCTTACTAATTGGAATTTAGGCTTTATGACTAGGTGGCTACGCAAATCAAATGGGGAGTTAACTCCATTTAGAAGTAAAGCAATATCATTGACGCAACCAACGCATTCTTAATTAACCTTTGCAGAACGTGTTGAGTAAGCAACACACCAAGTGTTCTTATTGAAAGTTCTTTGCCTAAAATGGTACTAAATACAAGTAGCACGTTGCTCAGTAGCCTGGATACTGCGTTGCACCTGCTAAAATGATGTATGTCGAAATAAGTGCAGAAAGTACTGTAAAGTAAACATCTTCTGTAGTTTAAAACCTATATATAGGGGTTTTTAAAGTATTTTTGGCTAATATCTTGCTATAATGTCAGTTAATGTGGTAAGTGGATCCATGAACTGAAGAACACGACATCTTTAAAAAAACGAAAAGCAAATACATGGTCTAAGTGTATACATGATTTATATTTAACGACCTTAGTAACTCAGATTAATGCGATAAAAAAATATATATAAATAAACACGATATTTGAAAAACTTAGCGTCGCAGACATTACACACAACAGAAGAAAGGGGTTAGTACTAATTATGAAGATAATTAACTCAAATATGCTAATATACTTTATGTTAGCATAACCATATATTCAAAAGCCGTTTCAATTCAATCTCAACTCATCTCTCCCTTCTATTGATAAATCATCAACAAACTAATATTAGTAAATGCTTGATTGATGCGTTTAATATATCACCCAATGTAGGGTGATGTGGTGTAATTGCAGGTCTGATATCAACTGACCTGGTAGTTAAGAAGGGTGATTTCAGTTGAATGAAATTGGCTGTGAGGTTCTAGAGTAATTTAAATGTAAATATATATATAAGAAAACTAATGCAGGTGAAGGGTGGTCATCTTAGAAGGCTAAGATCTCAGAATTAGCTTGTGATTTAAGAGATGTCAAAGTAAGTTAAATTTCTTTTGAATACCAACTTCGAGACCCAGCTGCTTCACAGCTTATTTGCATCGCTACCAGTGTGAAGTCGCTCCCCACTGTCCTATTTGCATCTGTTCTACAATGTAGATAATGTAGAAAATGTGTTTTCTGCGGAAATCGGTTTATGGGATGACGCTAAAGGAATATTAGAGCGGGAATAAGAACATATTCCCGACATATATATCGAGCACTATGCTACTGTCGCCAGAAAAGTTTAGTTTTAAGTTAACAGTTTTAATTAAGACCTGCTAGCAAACAATGTATGAAATGATCATTTATATAGTTAAATTATCACATTTTTTTTATTACCTTTTTGGCTGGCTTCGTGGACCCATTTGACTGAACGTTTCTTCCGATTGCAATACATAAATTGTCCTTTCGATTTTTGGTTACTAATATCACCCAAGGACTGCGATATTCTGCGCGCAAGTTCGATTTGATCTTCCACTGTAGGATGCAACAGAGGACAGTAAAATGCGGACGACCCATAGAGCTTTCCTATGCACATTGAAAGATAAAAGAGAAAAATGAAAAGAAAGAAAAAAAAAGGGGTGTGGGGGGGAGAGCCAAAAGGCAGAACGTTAGATTCAAATAAAAAAAATTACTTCTGATCTTAACAAAATACAAAAGGCCAATACATTTGCAAATGCTAGTTACTTTGTCACGTTCGTTCCTAAGAATACATAATGGAAAATTTTTGCAGCGTTTTCCCGACGAATAGACTTAGAGTTACGAAACTTCCATAATTAATTAAGGCAAAAAAATAACCAAAAATTCTGAGGAAATTTGCTAAGTATTACCACATGGCATCAACTAAGCCTGAGGTTTGTGAAAAATTTCTTAAAATTCGTAGTAAAAATGCTTTACCAAAATAGGTAGCGCTCGTATGCTCGTTTCTACTCTAAAAAATTTCACTGCTTAGAAGGCGTCTCGTTCTAGTCAAGCAATTATAAAGTCGGTGATATTATTCAAAAACTTGAGGACGACTAGATCAATTTATCTTGTACGCTGTTAATGCTTTGGAACGGTTGGAAGAAAATCGTGCGTGATGAGTTGCTCAAATTTGGCTGCACCACTAATTCCACTTTCTAGTGACAACAACCAAGGTGATTAGGAAGCGCGATTGATATGAAGTGTGCAGAATTTTTAGTAGAAAAGATGTCGCCTACCATCACGGTAATGAATATTAATGATACGGTCAAAATTAAGAGAGGCTGGCTGAAAAGATGATGTTTGTTTTGGTCTCTACACTCTGGTAAAGGCGTAAATCTTACTTCTAAAAAGGCCTGTAAAAATGACTATTCTGTTTCTGCTTTGTTTTTGTTCATGAAGTTCTATAGTGAAGAAAAATTACAAAAAGTTATGGGTCAATATGGCCCACATACTGTTCATTAAAGCTCTTATAAGGTCCATAACAAAAATATTTGTTTGAATATCCCGACAACATTTTTCTTGGCTCAAGATCAGCTTAATACGATACGTTTTAGTAACTGATATTATATCGAATGCCTATGGATATTCATTTAAGCAATACGAACACAGCACGTGTTGTGCCCTAAATTGCAAAGCTAATCTAAAATAACTGCAATGTCTCGCATTAAAATTTTTAGACTATGAAGCTTCTTCAAAACTTGAGTCCCCAACTCTTAATTTTAGCACCATCAATAGTAAGTAACTTTCTTTGGAAAGTGATATAATTGGTAAGAACTTCAACGCAGTGAAACTAACCAAACAAAAAAAAAAAATGATCGGTGAATATTTCATTACGTCAAAAAGAAGCGAGAGATATTTTAGCAGATCCTGAACTTAATTAGAAACAAATTCTGTTAAATAAAAAGTCCAGTTTACAGTTTTGGCAGATTTTTATCTAATTATGACCACCAGTTTGTTATGATGAAAGCGTTCGCTTTTAAAGCAAACCTCTTGCATTAGTATTTAGCTTTTTAAATAAAATTAAAAACATCTTAAACTTGAGTTTGATTTCTGACTTATTATTATTATTAATTTAGCCAGAAGCTAAATTCTAAAACTAAAGTCTTACAGCAGTAGCATCTAAGGCATAATTAAAAATTTCATTTAAATCAGATGAAGTCACGTTTACGCGTAAAAATCGAAATTAGTTTGTGGTAGAGTTTCAGGCTGGGCAAATTCTGTATGATTGTTTTTGAATGTTTAAGCAGTACGGTGGTAAGCACTGTTACCAAAGCCTTATTTTTTTTGTCCACTATTAAGTTGTACCGGAATAAACCACATTTCATTCCGGACATATTGCAAGGTTATCATTTTGTTTAATTTTCACAGAAATTTTGGCAAAATGGGCCAATATTAGAAAGCTCGATTTATTCAAATTTAACCCCGCGATAAGAGAGAAGACAATTTTAAAAGCTAGTCTATGTTTATAGGTGGTAATCAACATAGCAGCTTATAGGCATAAATAAAATTATCCTTTTAATTACGTTGATGTTTTACATATATCTTTTATTTAATTTGGTGTGACAAATATTTGACAAATCCAATATATCCGCTGTAGTAAGAACAAAAAGTTAAGTTATTTATGCATGTTCGGTTATGTTTTAGATATGAGCACGATATAAAATATATGCTGTGTTTTGAATACTTACTGTTCCTCGGGAAAATTTCCTTAGTGTCTTCGGCCGGTGTAAAAATTTTACTTAAATTAATTTTCCCTGAGAGGCTGGGTGATACCTAAGGCGAATTTTCGAAAAGCAATTTATTTTTTTAGTTAATTTTACAGAAGTTCATAAGTTTTTTTCAAATCTTAGAATAAGTAAAACGGGTTTCGAACTCAAGAATTATTACATTTTTATTGATATTATAAATTTACTTTGTCAAGAATAGAGCCCAAATTACCATAGCTTGCGATAATCAGAGTGCGAGTGGTCTAAATCTTACAGAGACCTCATGTAAACTTTTCGATTTATTTCGAAGTTTTTACATCTACTTAAATTTTACATCGGTTTAATAATTACACAACACAGATTTATTTTTAACAAAATCGATTAAATTGGTTTTCCGAAGTTTATGACATGAGCTGAACCCATAAATTAAAATTTTTTGTAAATGTTTGGGCGCGTAGTTAGAGAGAAGCAAAACGTGGTGATAAATTGAAATTTTCGTTTGATTAGTCAAAATATTTCTTCAGCTGTGAATTAGATAAAAGATAACTTTTTATTACTATTCCAACTTTCCTTACTTTTTTGGGGAATCGCATTGTCATATAGCGCGGAAAATGAATGGGGTTCATGTAGTTTCATGTCGTTTAAACACGAGGCTGTCATTCAAAATGCAAAACTGGTCTAGAGACTTCTTCTTAAAGATTGTCGAAAATTACCACATTGCACCAACGAAAGAATCTTTCCATTAACTTATAAATGAAGACAATGCTGCAACGTTCACAAAGGAATGTTCGTAAAAAATGGGCCAAAGCCAAAATAATTTAGCCAGTTGGATTACACCGAAAAAAAATGAACTCTTTCTATTTTTATCAGGTGAGTTTTATCCCAACCATTAAGGCATCGAAATGTTTGCTATAAAACATTTATTTGATCGAATTGACCAGACACATATTTCCGAGGAAATACCAGTCGGCAATTGTTAACATGGTTTTCTGTTGATTTAAAATGAATAGACATCATAGATTGTTAGTTTTTAAGGAACAATGCCGGCGTTCATATTTGACTGCATTTTTTTTATATATGAAACTTATATAACATTTTTTAAAAATTAATTTTAGGTGCTTACTGCGGTTACGCTTCTCATTCACCATTTTTAGCAAATTCTATATTTATTTTTTATTTTGACGGTAGTGATTGTCCTTTGAAAAAAATATAAAAACTTAGTTTGGCAAAGAAAAGGCATTTAACTCCGATGTTAGCAAATTTTAAAATGACATTCGATAATTGGATATTAGATGAGGATGTTGGCTAACCCATAAACAATCCAAAGCGATTTATAAAGTTTCAGCAAGAGAAAAAGATTATTGGAATTACTAAACGGACTTTGCTTTACATGGGTATAAGCGTCACGAATATATCTGAGTTTGATGTCAGCATAACTCCAATTAGCGCTTTGTAAGTGTTATATAGAAAAACTTTTTATTCTAAAATCTTATATCAGGGAAAGATCTAAAAAAAGAAAGAAAAGTTGTGGCGAAATTGTATAATAAGGAGTCTGTTTATAGGGAGTCTCAATATTTCTGGGTTTCAAAAGATGCCTTCTTGCATTCTCGATGTGAATTTATATTTGAAAGAACAAGAGACACAAATGTACAAAATGATTCATTAAGTCAGCTGAAAATGCACAAAAATTATATATTTTAAAACGGTAGATGTCCAATGACGAAAACATTAAAAAACAAATTAATGAAATTTTCTTTTTTCGATGTCCAATAAGTGAAGCTGCAAGTAACACTTACAATGCTATGTAAACATTTCGGCATGTATATAAAAATGAAGTGCATTCATCACTTTGTATGGAAGTTTGGGCGTAAGAAATATGTTTTGGATGTGGAAACAAGCAAATAGAAGGACATGGTAAACCAACCCATACATAATAATAATGATGATAATAGTAATAATAATAACATTAATAAGTAATAATAGTTAATAATAATAATAATAATAAATCATAATAATTAATAATAATAATAATAATAACCTTGCTCTTCTGCCAAATTTGTTTACTTAGGTCGAGCAGGAATTTTTTCTTTGCCGGATCATGGCGGTCGCTTGGTTTAAATCCACGGTTTCGCTCTACTACACAAAATGTTTGAGATTTTTTTAAGCAAGAACCATTGATTTTGTCCATCTCACAATATCCCCCGCTTCCATCATCTTCTTTAATGCTAAGATCATGTAAACTTCGACTTTTAAGCATCTTCACTGCGTTAAACCTTAATTTCACAAATTTGTTGCTTACTAATGGCCGGCATAGTACTCAAATCACGGTAACTGCACTTTGGTTTCAGAGTAAAGTATTTCCGCTTTTTATGTGCTTCTCCACAAAGGTTTGCATCCCATATTTACGCTAATTATAATGTTTAAAAGAATTAGAAAACAATTCTTGTCCACTTACAGGGCATATAGGCGATTCAAAGCAACGAATTCGTTCCTATGAAAGCTTATCCTCATTACATTTTTTATACTTCAAATGTATTTTAAAGACAAATTAGACGTCTTCACAATTTGTATACCTAAACACTCTCAGAAGTTTTTTTCATTAGTGATTTGAAGTGAAACAAATTTGTAGCCACATATAAATTTTCATCTATTTTTGGCATGCATGTTTTTATACCCAGAAAATTTCTAGATAAATATATCGTTTAAAGTCTGAAAGCTACCTTGCAGAATTTATTTTTAGAAGCAATTAATTAGGTGTATAAAACCAAAATTTGCATTACATTTGACATTACCGATATGTGAGCAAGCAATCTTTCGCAGTAATATTCGTTTGAATGTTATAATCTAATGGCTTCCAGTAATTCATTTTATATAACTATTAAACTATGCAGCCCAAATACATAATTTTCACACTCTATTTTTTGAGCGGGAACGCCTCACAGTTTATTGCTTACAAAAGTCCCTTTTGCTTCTGGTCTTCGCGGGAACATAACAATGACATTAAAGAATTGCATTGTTATTATTTTAGGGGATAATAAATATTAGGGTAACATTAATACATTCTTTCATTTATTTCGCGTATCTAGCAGAATCTGTAGTAATATTCAAATTCACTCCGAAGAAAGTTGCAAGTCTGCCTTTCTTTTCTTCTTGCTTTCAAAAGTTTTCAAAATTTACGTAACCACTTGAAAATGTTCGTCCAGTTGTGCTCCTTTTACCAATTGGTTAATTATAGTCCCAAAATTGTAACGTTGATGTTACTTATTCATATTTTAAAATGCTTGAATTAAATGAAGAAATTTGAATAGATTTCGGATGTTTACTTTTTTCCGCCTCACCCGGCACAGAACTAGCGTTACATCTGACTAACAAAAATTGCCGTGTCGCCATACTGCCACATAATCTGTGATTACTTAGTGTACATGTATAAATGTAGATATATACACACTCTTAGCTAACATAACATAGTTGTGAGCACACTTTTTCTCGTCTATAGACTGGTATTAAGCAATATCATAGCGAATGTTCAGCAACAACCAAATAATAAAAAAGAAAAAATAAAAAGCTTGTTGCGAACTTTGGATATCTATAATTTGAAATATATGCATAAGAACGCCGAGCAGTTGTGGTGGTTTATTTTTGGAAGTTGAATCATGAAATGAACGAGGGGGGTATGTTCCACATATTAGTTGTTAATATCAAATTGAAACGTTGATCATCAAATCCGACATTAGAAAAAAGATATCAAGGATGTGAATTTTAGGAAGGAAATTTTAAAGCCACCACCCGTTTTTAAGTCAATTTGACTCCTACTCTAGTATTCGTTTTGTTTACATTTGACAAAAAGGCATATGTATTTATGATTTAGAAACTGACTTCAATTAAAAGTAACAAGGTAAAATAACACTCGTCGTGTCTGCTTATTCATAGTAGAGAGGTTCTGTTCGTCGAACTGTGTGGCTTTGTATAAATCATAATATTAAGTATAAAAATAGAAACGGACAAAATAAAAAAAAGAAGAAGCTATTATTTTTCATAATTAGAAATTTTGCATTATTAGCACTCACTGTCCACAAGCAATTGAGAAAATTATTCGAATATGTTATTAATATATATATGTTTATGTCCATTGTTGAAGTACAAAAAAAATTTTTGTTGCATTGTTATGAGGAGGAGTATGCATTGGACATATCATGACGTCAATATCAGCTTTACTCCTATAAATTCATTACTGAACTTAATCACACCTGCTCACTGGTCAACGTTGTTAAATTTAAAATATATAGTTGAAATTAAACATAAACGCATCTGCTCAAAAGACGGGCAAAAATAGCTTAAAGGCCACGGAATTTTCAAATGATGTAGAACTTAAAAATAAATTAGTAAATAACATACCAACTGTAGCGAACTGTAATCTAACGTTAATACCATATTCACTACAATATATAACAGTATGTAGGAAAATCATCTATCTAGGTAGCTCGCAATTGGTAAAATTGGTCAATGGATTCTTGACATGTTGTTGTAATCTCAACTAGCATATACATCATTGCAACCAGATCGATTTAAAGATTATCACGTATACTTTATGCCGTCCCAAAGCACAAAAATTGCAGATGAAAAGCAAATATTCGCCGAGCTTGGAGTATCTACCAATAATCCGAATGCTTACCAAATGCCACCGATTTTGATTGTTAAATAAGCACAAAAAAAAAAAGAGACGACTAATGTCCTAAGGACATCGATACGCAGTCCATTTACTAATGCGCATTAAGATTTGGGCACGAGAAGGCTATTTTCCACAGGGGCATCGCTTATTCTCACAGTGGAGCGAACACACCGTATCAATTGCTGTCTTATTCTCCAGATATGAGCATAGGCGACTATTATTCGTTTAGAAATTTTCGAAGTATGATTCACTAAAAGTGATTTAGATCAAATGATCAGGTCGTTAAGGAAACTCACGGCCATTTCAAGGATTTTGAAAAATCGTTCTTTAAAAGAGACATCGAAATACAAGATAGGCATTCAAGTAAACATATTTTTTGAAGGGAACTTTATTGATAAATTAAGTCAAATTCTTCCAAATTTGATCTCGGGATTTGTTGATCGACGTACTCAGTGTTTAAAGATTTACATTTAATTATGTAATTAGGCAAATATTTTGCTTTAAATTAGACCTTAAGGGCGCTCTCTCTGATAGCCCAATTAATGGGAAACATGAAATATTTATGTAACATTCGCATCATAGAACGATTAACAGTATTCTCCGCCTATAAGCGCAGTGAAATCATGTACTACTAATTTAAAATATTTTTTTGTAACAAATTTTACCCGAGTTTTTAAAAGGAATTATTTCAGGTAATGTGCACTGAACACATGCAGCAGAAATGGAATCAGAGAGAACTAGTGCTTATGATAGTATGGAAAATACCCTATGAGTATACTGGTAAAGAGGGTACATCTTATAGTTACCGGGTAGATTGTCTGTATTTAGCCTTTAAGTAATGCTTTAATACGCTTTAACAATCTGTATATTTACATTAATATGTTTCTCACATATATTTACAATAATATCTCTTCATTGTTTCTGGTTGCTTACATATTTTTTTCTCAATGTGTACTTGGTTCGTTCTTAATCAAAAACTACAATCTGATGCAGCGCAAAACTATTCACAATGTTGTCTTTCTTAGTCGCCACTCGTAGCAACCTCGAAGCTTGATAAGTTTAACATTAGAACTACCACGTGTATCAATTTTTTGATTTTTTCAACATCCGACGTCTGAAAAAATTAAGTTCCAAAATTTTCTAGGGTCATATTTTTATTTCACTACTGTTATTATTACAGTAATTATAAAGCTTTAGGCCGGGAGACGTTCTAACGTGAGGGCACATCAAAAATGTGGTGAATGTTCTTCCAACATCGATCTGCACGGACAGTAAAAGACGCTGCAGCTAAAGAGGTATAGATAGGTCATATCAATATAAAAGATTTCCTTATTCAATATTTATTTATTTTAGTTGATTTTGAAAACTGCAATGTTACCCTTAAAAGGTTTACACGTATAGTTCTCATTATTTGGCTTTCGCGTAATCTGTCTAGAGTAATTTTTTTTAAATTTTGAATGACTCCTGATAACACTAAAAATATTGCGGAGGAAAACCGCACTGTTATTGAATATGATTTTGAAATTAGATGATTTCACGATTCTAGCTCCGTTTGTCGGTAGAGTAATCAAATTCATGGACCTAGCCTACTGAGCCGCATGACAACGAAAAGAAACAAAACAAGAGAAAGAGGAAAATGCGAACCAAAAAAAACACAAAAGGATTTGAACCTGAAGAGGGAGAGAGAAACAAATAAGAAAAACGGTGTGAGTTCGTTCTTGGAGTCGGTGGTCTGTCGTTCGTTCGTCCGGAGTAAGTCCGTCTGTATCTGTCCTAAGTCCCCCTACAGTCCCCCACGCGTGCACACCCTCATCGCACTCCTGCTACAGCAGTAGTATGTTCAACCTTAGCCACTCATTGCAGCTCACATGTAAGCCAGAACAATAAAAAGGAAGGTAAATACCTGACCGTTGTCAGCAATTGAAGCAGCAGATCCAGTGGCGAAGTCGTTGATGTTGTTGCTTTTTGTTCAGCCGAACAGAACCACTGCGCCTCCTTATTCTCCCTCCAATGAGCACCTTCTTCAGTGATAGCAACGGCGAATGGGGTGGTCATAAGCAGACTATTCTTTGGTTTGTTTGCTCCAGAATTAATTCATTAACAATTTTTCCCAAACGTCATGTATTTTCACATTTTTCGCACCTTGGGAATCGAATTAGTTTCTGTGGGATCTTCCAATACTTCATTTCTGGATCCACTTCATAGGCAATTTTACTAATACCTTTTTTTTCCTTTTTTCGTAAGTACTTCTAGTAAACCGTAACAATAAAAACTGCAAATATTTCATTTCCATTGTTTATCGATTTATTATAAATTTTGACAATTTTACAAAGCAAATTTTTCACATTTCTTGACATCAAATGCTTAGAAAACCTCTTTCATTTATTTAGATAACAAAAAATTTACTGTTTTTGCATTCATTTGCGTTTTGCTTTGTTTCAGTTTTGGTTCACTTATTGCTGTTAGTTGTACATAAGTGTATGCATATTGAACTTATTTCTGTGTCCATATGTATAGATATGTATTATTTTTTTCTTTCATCGCGTACATAGGTAATCCATTTTATAACTGAATAATGGTAAAAAAGCCATCTAATACTTTCATTTACATCGACACATCTACACATGTCATTTTTTTTTAAATATTTCTTACAAAGCGTTAATTTTAATATTTGCTTTTCTTTTCTGTAGTTTCAGGATATATATCAATACCGTATTATTTATATTTTTTTGTGAATAAATTTTGCTGGCTAGCTTTCCCGGTTATTGTTTTCACTGCTTGGTTATACTTTGCTTATCAATCTTTTTGGTACTTAACGCGACTATTTATATAAAAATTTGTTCATATCCGTAGTAATATTTGTGTATGTTTAACGAGCAGGCTTGACTTCGTTTTCTTTTAGTCGCTTACAATCGCTTTTAAAAATTGTTCTAATTCTTCGATTATAACAAAACACAATTTCTTTTATTCATCCCTTAGGAGTTGATGTAATACCCTTTACGTTTACCGGTTCTTATTAATCTATCTTTCCATTGAACAGCTTTAAAAATTCAAACACAACACACTGTATTGTTTTCTTTTTTTTTATACTTTGACTAAATATATTTTTTTAAGATTTTTTGTTTTAGAGTTATATCTTGAGATGCGACTTGAAAAATGATCTCCAGAATTGACGATGCTGTGCGTTCGGCTGTTCTTACGCGACTCTGTATTAGCAGCCAAATCAATCAAAGTAAAGGAAACCTAACTTGCTCGCGTGATTTTCTTCTTTTTTTCCCAAAATCACGCGATTTTACTACATGAGAACTTAAGCTCGGAGCATAGATCGCGGCCACGTATTTAGGTTCCAATAGTTTCTGTTATTTTTTCTTTGATATCTCTCGA